GTAAAAATCTGTCTATGCCCCTCCTTTTTTTGCCAGACTGAATAATTTTAACAATTTTGCACATGAATATCCATCTAGTTAATTATACTAAAGGATTATAATTATGAAGGCATATCAGGTGAATCTCTCTAAAAATAAATCTTTTATTGCCACATTGAAAATACACMTTTGATTGTTCCAAAATGGATGAGTATATTTTTAAAAAGCCATTATTACAGGAAGAAACCATGCTATGAAGGCTCTTATGCCTATAAATAACAAATATTTCCTGGTTTTGAAGCGCAAAGACAATATTTTGTTCAGTCTGTTACTCTCAGCCAGTATCACAGAAGTTCACACGTAATTGTTCGATTACCATCAATTTTCTAAGTATCTACTATATTCTGGGGCATTGTTTCAGTGCAGGAGACACACAAGTTACACAAGGTAATTGCTTTTGTACAGTCCACATTATAGAAGGAGGGGAAAAATAATGAAAAAAAACACAAATCAATAATGTTTGCTTGTATGTGGAATTTCTACACATTTTATACAGAAACTCATTTTTTTCACATTGTTGTTTTTTGAATAAGCCAGTATTTCCTGCACAGTGTTAGTGAACACAAGACAATCCCTGAGACACTGCTTCTATTAGAGAGGATTGGAGGGATGCCATAGGATTCTCTTATCCTATGTGGAACATTCTTTGTATGAGGYCTGGATCCAGGTGATGAAATTAACTGGAAGTTATAGGTTGCCTTTTTTAAATTTATTTAATGAAGAAAAAGACTAAAAGTTTAAGAAATTTATCCAAGTAGCAGAAAATACAATTTTTTTTCAAGTATGCCATTCCTAAACTTTTTCTCAATAGAGAAAATAATTTAAAATGAAAGTATTCAGGGAATCTTTGTCTAAAATGAAATATTCCGAATAGGCATTTATAGTTAAACATAAGCAATTTCCTCAATTTTTCTGACTGCCACTGTTCACCKTCCACCCTAAAAAGAAAAACAAATCTAATTGATGGATTTTTGTACCTCAGTTAAGACAATGGAGTTATCAGTTTCTGTCTACCTTTCCCTGTAACTAGTCAACTGAGCTCAGTTAACACAAACACAAACACACATGAAGTCTTCCAGAATTAACCTGGTGATGATTTAGCAAGTTTGAACACCTTAGCTGAACAAAGGTATGGGATTAAGTCTTCCTACTTACAAAAAAAGGACAAAAGAACATGTAAACTCGGTAACTTCTTAGAAAACCAACATAAGGATATTTTTCCAATATTTCCAAATATTCCAATTCAGAAATAAGTAGTAACAGACAAGCAATATTTGGTTGTATTTGATCACAAGGGGAAATTCAGCTTAAAACTGCTCTGAAGACATTGAGATCATGAATTGAAAATGACTCAGWTATGGATTATAGAATCATATAACCCCATTTTAAAATATGAAACATGAAATGAAGCACAGAAATAATTAGGAAAATGCTAATCAATAATGAAACCCCTAAATTACATRTCCAGTTTTATAACTATGGTGTAGTAATAAGCACAGAGGCTACTATTTTATAGATGATAATATCAATTTTTRTAGAAACATACAAGATATATTAAGTTTTTCATATATTTTTTCTCACATATGACAATTCAGTGAGGTTAGAAATTATATTAGCATGATTTTATATATAGTAAAAAGATGACTTCAACTGGTTTGGAGGCTTATGGAAGTTTCACAGTCAATGTTGGGGTTTTGCTTTGCACTGAGAATTCCTTCCCTCAAAGTACTTCAAATTGTTTCAAAATGTGCCCAAACCTAATGTTTTCTAAGATTTCTACACTGTGGAGGGTGGCTGAGTGATGATTCTATTATAGTTTTATAAACCTAGAGGGACTGAAAGACCTGGTTTGGACTCACAGGTTATTACAGTTTCTTGTGAATATAATTCATACATTGCTTTGATGATTCTCATTCATCTTTTATTATGCTTACATTTTTAAATCATAGTAACTTAAGAATAAAATCACATTTTAAATAAATTTTTACAAATCTGATCCAAAGGTAAAAATTCTTAAACTATTTCTTCAATTCATCTCAGTTTTTCTGTCCCCTTTTGTTTTCTTATACTTCATTTATATGCATTTGTAGCATCAGATGTTAGACTGCATTTGATGTTCATCACCTTAATTTCCATAACTGGTTACACAACTTGATGAGGAAAAATATGGAGTGGATTTGCTTCTTCAAGAAAAGACATCAAACTAACATAATCTGTTAGTTCTGACAGCTCAAATTAATCAACCCTTTCTCTTTTTTTTCTTTCTTTTCCTGGCAGGAGAGAGGGAAGGGGGAGGGGAGGGGGATGGGGAGGGAGGGAGAGGGAAGATGCATTAGTGTCAATCAGTGCTCAGAAAGATGGAAAAATCTGTTCCTYTAGGTCTGAATAATCAAGTGCATATGTTTTTAATTAGCAACATCTTTGTACTCTGTGGCACATTTAAATGAATCCCTTTTATTTGGTGGGTTATTTTCTGTGATTATTCCTGTACCTACATGTCCAGAGAAAATAATTTAAAGTCAATTAAATCAAACTGAAATAACCATCGAATTCAATACATTAGAGCAAAAACTCTTTGCTGACAGGGAATAATGGTATCAGAAGGAGTTTAACTCTCAAGCAGGCTTGTTTTCCTTCTCCAACAAAATCTGKGTACTTTCTGAAACTTATTTGTGCAGATGACACATACTTGTTCATGCAGATGCAAGAAACACATGTTTGTCTGAATTTTGTGGAAGGAAAAGGGAAACTTTATTTACTATGATCTTGGGCAATTTCTTTTCGCAGGAAGTGGAAAACAACACAATTCCCTTCAAACATCAGCCTCCAGTAGCAAGTAGCCTATTTTTGGTCTGTGTATCTCAGTGAGGTTATAAGTCTTCCCTAGATGTGATTTTAGAGACTCACATCTTTTGATAGTGCCCCTGTTCAAAAGGACTGTTGGAGAAAGTTAATCAGGGGCTTCCTTTCCCTGTGAGCATTTCCTGCGTCTGCAGCTCCACACAGCGTCTGCGGCCTGAAATGAGTCCAACACTGACTATGGCCTCTTCCAGCCAGAGCCTGGGAGTGAGCAGCGATGACCCCCGGGAAATAAAGACATCGCTGCTGCAGGAACTAGATCAAAGTCCGCCGGAAACGTGGATTCTTCCTGGGAGTACATTAGCTGCCCGTTTGGTTTACCTTCTTGAATGAATTCCAACTTAACGTTTCTCCCCCAAAAGAACCACCTTGAACTCCCCTGGCTGCTGCGGACTCGCGCTGTTTCCACTCAGCTCTCTCTTGCTCCGCAGGCACCTTGGAGAGGGCACTGCCTCCAGGAGGCGGAGATCATCCCACCCAGAATGGACAGTTCCAGACCAGCCTCCGCACCCTCTAATCCTTGATGGAAACATGGAAAGAGAGCACCTTGTCTAAGACTCTCTTCCAACTGTCACGATCGGAGGAAGAAGAACCTCAGAAAGTGCTTGGGAAAGGAGGCCAGAAGCAGACATTAGCCTCATCCTACTGCCCAAGAAAGATCAGTGTCGCCTCCCCTATCCACCCACTTTCTGGMCCCTAGCCCGTCTCTACCAGTTTCCCCTTAAGTCTATTAAAAATCTCCTGGTGCAGGAACCTGAACTGCACAAGTTCTGTGTCTGAAAAAGTGGGCTGGACTTCCCTTCCTGGCTAGTCTCCCCCCTTTGGCAGTACATAGTTTTGAGGGTCCGCGTGGACGTGATTTTGAACAGTTTTTCCACAGTTTCCACGTGGTGTATTTCAATCTCCCATCTCACTCCACTCGTGTAGGCACCCTTTGCCAAGTACGGATGGCAGAACCCTGAGAGATCGCCTTCGCCTTCAGGACAACCCACTCAGACCTGCCTCTAGGCTCAGTGTCAACTGGTTGCCAGGAACGAGGGGAACCGGCAGAAGTGGGGGGTCTGTGCCGAGCAGGAGACAAGAGCCTGTGGGGACTGAACAGGGCTCAGACTCCGGAGTGGAAAGGCAAAAAGGCCGAGCGCGAGGAAAAGAAAGGGAAGGAGCTGAAAACCTAGGCAAAAAGGGCCSGGTGTGTTGGGCGTTTTTTTTCCTGGTTTTAAAAAGGCAGGGATGCTCTAGTGCTCCCGCTGACTTTATGCCTTCCTCTTATCCCATCCTTTGTGCAATAAGCCGCTTCCGCCCCCCTGCAGGAGCTTGGGCTGTGGGCGGCTGCTAGCACTGCCCTGGGAATGCAGCCTCCGGAGGCTCCCGCTCTCTCACCAAGCCCAGCGCTGACACTCACAGGAACCTTTGTCCGCAGGATCTTCTTAGCTGCTCTACCGCGATTCTGAACCAATTTGGCAGCGTTTTAAAAAAGGTAGCAAAGCCGAGACGCTTTTCTTTTTCATTCTTTCGTCCTGTGTCTTTTTATTTTCTAACAATAACCTGTCGTTCGTTTCTCTGTGTAGGATCTAAGAATCTTTACTGTGCATAACCTAGGAATTTCAAATAGGCTTCCCCAAATTTTAAATGCCCCCCCACCTCCCCAATTGGTAAGCAAGATTTCAGAGTCTTCCAAAATAGCCCTTTTCATCTTATGTAATTAAAGACCCACAAGCTTTCAAAGAAGCTCTGGATTTTCCACAGTGCACCACAATCCCCCCCCCCTCATTTCTCTCTCTCTCTCTCTCTCTCTCTCTCTCTCTCTCTCGTGCGCGTGTGTGTGTGTGCGCGCGCGTGTTCGTGCGTTCTCTTTCATTTCTACCATTAGGAAACTCGTTCAGGGCCACTGAAAAGTCAGGAGAGGCTCAGATCTTATTTCTCATGGATTCCTGCCTTTCCAGAAACGCTGCCATCCAATAAGTATGAAGATGTTATTTTGGAGAAACAATTACTCCCCTACCAAAAAATAAAGCGCCAGAGGGGGGAAAAAGGCGAGGCTGGAAGACAAGGAAGCAGCTTGGGTTCGCTGGTGGAGGAAAGTGCGATCTGGGGTCAGGCTGGGGGTTCCAGTCTCTTACTTCAGCACCGGAGGGGATGGACAGCGTCTCTGGACTGGGCTGCAGCTACAAGGACCAAACTGAGCTGCTGCTGCTGCCACCGCCTCCGCTGTCCTTGCCGCCACTGTCGTCGCCACGGGCAGCTGAGCACCCTGCTCCTCGCAGCTAAAAGGCGGTGCCTCCTAATACCCCCCYTGCCTCCCTGTCCCTTTCCTTGATGGACGAAAAATAACCCTCCCTACTCCACTGCTACACCTAGGGAGAGGGCTCTGAGGAGTACTCTGGCTCCACAGTTAAACTCTCAGCCACAACTTCAAGAATAATTTTTCTATAGGGGAGGTAGGAGGAATGCAGGCTGAAGAGTGAAGTTCAAGTTCTTAGAAGCACTGAGAAATCATGGGCACTGCAGTAGGGGCTGAAATACTCAAAGGCCCACAGTTCATGAAATAAGCAGGATGTTCCTGAGTGGATCGTAACTCTTTTGGAAATAGCTCTGTGAGAGGAGGCTGGAGATCTACTCAAAACCTCACGTTAGAGAAACTGAAGACACATCTATTTCCACTACTTAGCAGGTAAGTGGTAATACTATTATTTATGGCTTTTTACTACTATAATGACTTTCCCCAAGGTTTTACAGAAAGAACATGAACAGTATTTTTTTCTTGTGAATTAAGGTAAAGATAAATAATTCTGTTCCATAGAAAGTTGTTATTTCTAGTTCATGATGTTAGAAAATCTCTTGCTTAATAAAACTGTCAGATGTTTTATGTCTTTGAAGTATCTCCTGTGACAATAGTAAAAATATTATGTAGTTGGCTAACATTTTTAAAGTAAGCTTTTAGTTGGACACTTTTCTTATTGTTTATCTAATATCTGCTTGGATTTATGTATATCTTGCTCATTTTTTTCTTCAATACTAATGTAAACTGCTATCTTGCAAGAGAATGTTTCTGGTCCTATGCATGGCCTTAAAAGTGATTCTGCCTGTGTCACATAGTGTGCAAGACTCAAAAAAAGTTGAAGTAGASATGGTTTAAATACCCTTTCTAATATATTTTTATGGTCACAATTTGCCAAGCCATTTACAGGCAGAAAAATATGTATACAGAGGCATCTCCTTCCTCTATGTATCCAAACCCACAAGCACACCTACACCTGTAGAATTTTACCTAAGGAAACATGCATGTATTTGCTCAGCATCCTCTCCAGTCTTTTAAATCTTAAAACCAGACCCAATAGAAAGCACAAAACAAGAAGCTTTATCGTGTCTCTTTAGAAGAGCTGGSTTTTGACAGAATTCTGACTTCTTAGCTCTATAAAATACATTGGTTACTGAAATCCAGAAAGTGAGAGAGGTCAATAGGTTCTTAACAAACCATAAACTTTAGAATGCTAATTAAATCCTTTTTTCTCTTGATTCTTATTTCTAGAATCTTCCTTTGGTGCTTTAAAGTGACAATCTTTCACAGTGACCTTGATAAGCATTCTGCTTTAATAAAAAGGGCTCACTGGGTAAAAGCAGTTATACAAATTTATAGCCCATGCCTGACATTTCAGAAAGAACTCGATTAATTCCAATGAGCATGTTCAGTTCAGTGCCCAGAGCTGACTTACAAGAATGGACTTTTACAATCATGTAAATACATGAAACAGTATATGCATAACCAAGTGTTTAGAAAGAGTTTGCCCCTTTGAAAAAACTACAGGAGTTCTCAAGGTTCTTCTCTTAATTTTATAGGCYTTATAAGACTGATAATAAACTACTTCTCTAATGCATTCATAGACTTACTCTCTCAGTTTCAACATAAATATTCTCTAAGACAGTTACGATGATATTTGTGGGTGGACTGATGGTCCCTTGTTTTGCATTGGCTTAGAGTAACAATTACACTCTRAGGAAAAATCATTCTTGACTGTCACTTACCACTTACCATGAACCTGCTTGCTTAGCAGAAAGGGAGCAGAGGCATTTATGTCACTGAGTTCCTTGGGGGCTCTTTTGCCCTAGATAGGTCAGAAATGATTATCTGAGGAGCAGAAAGATGTATCATTGATTTAGATTTCTACAATGTGCTCCTAACACAATACAATTTTTTTTTCAATCCGCGGGATGGAAGTGAAATTACCACATGGAAGACTTAATCACGTTTTTAGAAGAGTTACAGCATGTGGTTAGACTATTATTTTGGTTGTCAATTAATTATCAGAGTTGGACTCCCCTGGTCAGTGGAGCATAAAATGAAATCAGGGAATGTGTTCCAGAATACATGCCTATGGGTATATGGACGCAGTTCCCTTCTTAGTTGTTGAGGGGGCAGACTTTCTCTACGTGTAGCTGAAACTGTGCAAAGTAAAAGTTACCTTTTCCTATTCCCTTTGGAGATTTGTTCACTGAAATAAATAAATAATTCACTCTCCCTAACTCATGAAAGTGTATAGAAGCCTGTCACTCCTTATCTCTTGGAAAATGCTGTTACAAGACAGAGTTTTGTAAAATAACTTAATGCACATCTAAATTCTCATCTCTAATTGCAAAAAAATAAATAAACAAATAAAGGAGTGAGGGGAAGTGGAAACCAATCTTCACTTTGATTTCTCTTGTGTCTAAAGTGAAATCAGCACTTTATTTGGGAACAAGTGCACCCAATTCATTAAATCAACTCCTTTGCCTGGATGGGTATTTTGTCTTATTGCTGAAAGAGGATGCATGAGGTCTTTAGGAGGACCAGAGACAATAATTAATAATTCAAAGTCACATTCTGCCCCACCCCCCAAATAAAAGTTTTGATGGGTAAGGCTAAGTGTTGTTGAGTGTTGCTTTTATTTGAAACCCTAAAATGTAAAAGGAAATAGGATTATGTGATTGGAAATGTGAACTATGTACAGGAGCAGAGGATAATTAAAATGAGCTCAAGACTCAGTTGAGTTACCATTATTTCTTCAACAAGAAATGGAATATGGAGAGGGGAAAGGGAATCCTAGCTGGAATCTTTAAATTATAGTATATTATAAAACACTTCTCCATCAACATTTTATGTATACCATCTAGATATTAGCTGAATATTCTAATGTAATTATTAATAACCTTTAATCATCTTAGATTTGAATGCCTATAGATTGTCTTCAGAGTTATTTACTTCGGTTTGAATCAGGTTCAAAATTATTACATAGACTGAAGAAATTCCTTTGGTAATTCACCTTTCCCATTGTTTAAAGCTGCAAATTCCAGGCAACTTCTTATTCATTTATTCCATCCTACCAAGTACAGCAAAAATCACAACTGAAGAAAATTATATTGTTCACAAGAAATGACCTCTATAGTGATCTCACTACTCAGAAACATCTACAATGATTCATAGAATAGGACTCAAATGAAGAAACACCACTTATTTGCTGTTTTCTCACTGTTTAGCTTAACAGATTGAGCTATGCATGAGAGAAACAACTTGCTGCAGTAAAAAACTGTTATGAATCATGATGTACCAAACAAGTATTGCTTGAAAGTCGAATGATCAGGAATCTGTCCCTGTGTGGGGGCACCCCCTATAATACTAGCAATTCTGCAAGCTGAAGCAGGAGGATTGCAGGTTCAAAACCAACCTTAGCCACTTAGCAAGCCCTATCTCAAAATAAAAATAAAAAGGGCTGGAGATGTTGTTCAGTGGTTAAGCATCCCTGGGTCCAATTCCCGGTACAAGAAATAAAGAAGAAAAGGAAGGAGATTAGGAATCTCAATCTATTAGGAATCTCAAGCCACTCAAATTAGTGAAATATATATATATATATATATATATATATATATATATATATATATATATTCCTAATCTCCTTCTCCTTCCTTTTCTTCTTTATTTCTTGAACCGGGAATTGGACCCAGGGATGCTTAACTACTGAGCAACATCTTCAGCCCTTTATATATTACCTGAAATGGGGATACTTTACCAGCCTACTAAGGTGCGAACCTTCATATGCAGATGAACTTACATRTTTATGAAAGGAATGAATGATACCTACTTTTTTGACAGTGTTTTGGAAATATAAGTGCCAGTCTGTGAGTTATTATAAGAAATTGCCTTTAGCATTTATTCATTCATGGGGAAATTCCCTCCTAATTTCTCTAGGGGAGGCACACATCTTATTCTTAAGAACTCTTAGTGTAGAGAAAATAATGTTCCTGATAATTCTGTTATAATTTTCTKTACATCTTTTCATGCTATAAAAATGTCAAGAGAGGCAGAATGTGGTCTAAAATATTTATTACTTAAAATTGATATGATGTTCTCTATCAATTAGTCAAACCTAGGTCACTGTGACCCAAGTTCATTTTAACAACTTTAATTTTGACCTGTGAAGAATCCATCACTGTCTTTGTGTCATAATTTTCTAGTTTATGAAAAGAGGATTAATATTTATCATTAGTGATACTGACAAGAAAGCTCATAGGACTAGTGGAATTTTAAACCCACTATCTGGAAACACATACAGAAAGCATTCTTGGTTTGATTTCTGGCTAGTGGGTATGGAGTAAAACGTGGATATTGTGAGCATTGATTTTATAGGAATAACTGGAAATACTTTAAAGATATAGTATTGATTTAGCACAAACCCTGGGCTCTATTCATACATCTCCTCTGGAAATCTCAAGTTAAGTTACATCTTATTCATCAGCTAGAACTTTAGAAATCAACTATGATGATTTTTCAACGTACTTTACTAACATTTGGTTGGTATAGATTTCTGGGCTAATACTAAAAATATATTGATGGTATGTTTAAGAAATATAAATTATTGTTTGTTGCTTCAGGCAATTCTGGTAGAGTTTTGTGGTTAAAATATTTGACTATGCTAGAGATAAAAATTATATAATATGGAGTTATATTTCTTACAAAAATTTTTGTTTGGCTTTGCTTACTTTCAAAAGAAGCATTAAATAAAGGACACTGGAAGAGATTATATTGAGAGAAATCATGAAAATAATTTCCTGAGACTGAGAACTTCATCTTTCATCATTGTGAAGCTTGTGCCACACAGTGTACACATTCAGAGTGTCAGGAGATCATTTTAGTCTTCATGAATTCGGTCTTCAATTTGTCAGCAAAGCTAAAATAATGGTGTTTATTTGCCAAACAAGAAACAAATCTTTAAATCAATTCAGTTGAATACTTGCCAATTATCACTTCATGAAAATTGATGTACACAATGCATACTTTTAAAATTAAAATTTGTGAAGTAATTAAAACAGCAAATACATTACTATTTTCTTAGCATTTTAGCTGAATATTTAATATTTTAAAGGAACAAATTCTTACTTGGTAAATGAAACAAATTAACAGAAGACAAGTATCTTTTAGAAATCATACCGGAATTTTCATAATTCATTTATTTTCCTGGCCCTATAGGTAAATCTTTACTGTGTCCATTAGGAATCCAACAAAACCCCATAGGTTTAGTTGAATTTTTCTTGCACWTCTCTCATGACATTTCTTTTATGTTCTCATACTCTCCTGATAGAAAGTAGATGGGACCTAGGAACTAGTTTTCAAGCGAACAGTAAATTTTAATAGGCATGGCT